AAAACCACCAGAGCTTTGTGTTTATTGTTTGTATGGGTGTAATTTAACCCCAAAATGAATCTTTTTCTAAACCTAGCCAAGTAATTTTGGTGCCTAAACTTAACCAAATTGTTAAGGCAGCCCAACCAAAGATGAAAATGACCAACAACAGTGACTAAAATGTAATAAAGTTCAAAAATTACAAAAAAAAAAAGATTGGTTCCATGGGACTCAAAATGCTGTCTCCCGGGTGAAAGCTTTGTGTTTGTTTCATGCCAGCATAATTTGAAAAGTAAAAGAAATTTGCAAGTCATATGTCGCAGATGCAGGCCAGTAGGAGAGAATAGGAAAGGAAAATTGGCAATTTCACAGCCTTTATGTTCCAACTAATGTGTTTTGCACCGTTCACCAAAGGAGCTATTACACCTTTTGATATAAGGGTGCATTCTTCAGGAAGAGAAGTTCTGAGTGAACAATCCTGTCTCGTGAAAATCAAGACATCAAAATGAACAAAAGATGAGCAACTTTCTTTTATTTGCTTGCGTACACGTAATGTAGTACATGTTAATTCACATACTGTAGGTACAGAGAAGGGGGGTTGGTTGGATGCCATCGTAGTGTGCTTTTGAAATGTGGAATACAACCTGATTTGAGAGGGTTTATCTGCATGTTATCTCTGATTGGTACAGAAATACAAACAAGCACCTTCAGTCACGTATATTTCATTTCAAATACGGCCCTTTTGGCAGTGTAGGTGACGACTAACCAAGATGCTAAGGCTAACACAGCATTCCAGATGCAACGGATTCTGAAATTCTGACCTCTTAAGGTAAAGGTAGCGGTCCTTGAAAAAAAAGCTCAAGCAAGAAACTCAGGCGAAATATGTTATTCTCAAAGATATAGTCATGTTAAATCACATTAAACCTGATGGCACTCTGTAAACACCATATTGGAACCTTTAAATCATTCTGAAAATGGACACTCCATGACTATAAATCTAATAAAACATCTACAAGAAACTTGGTTAATGATGAAGCAGGAATGCAAAGTTGCATTTACAGCTGCTAACTGTCTACATTGTTAACTACTGATACACTCGCTTGTGTTTTTTTTGGCATAAGTACAGTACACACACACCAAAGAAAATGTAGTTTCTGGTGTGACAATCAAAATTAATTGTACAACAAGCTGGGGGTTTCCAGCTTTGAACGGAACACATTGTACAGGATGGTATTGTGCTGTGAACTACTCGGGCAGTTTCAATTCTACCACAACAAACTACCAAGTAGAAGCTTAAAGAAACAACTTCTGTGTGAATATTAGTAGTTGGTTTGCCATAAACTGTTTTTCACTGAAGTCACAAGTCATCATTTATTCATCAAGTCTGTACTGGGCTCAATCTCAGCCAAAAAGGTGTTGGGTTTTTTTGCGATAATCCAAGACTTTTTCACATTTTAATAGTTCATTGAGGCTTTTTATATGCAAATTAAAAATACACATAAAAACAGGCAGGTGCAACACACACCTAGTGCTTTTTTGAGGATGTATGTAGACCTCCAGTAGCATGTGAGGGCTAACATGTGTCATGGATTCTTGTATTTTCTCCCAGGAGATTGGAAAAGCGTTTATCTCAAATCCTAGAGAAATGACTTAGTAATACCACTATTAGTCCCTTGTCGTGTCATTTTAGGTCCACTATTAAAACAACCACTAAATTCAAGCTGAAGTACTGGATGTGCATGTGCAGCCTTCTTAGTATGCAGCTGCTGCATGGAGTCAAATACACAGCTCTCGGTTACAGACAGTGACATACATATATAAAAGAGCGCAAGACCACAGTTCTACTGTGAGCATCACAAGTAACAGTGCAGCCAGGGAGCATTAATATACTGCAAGTGCAGACATTTATGGCATTTACATCAAAGCAAATTAACTGTCACTGACTTTATAAGGAAGCATTTCAAAAATTACCAGCCAATTTATTGCCACCACTTTCCTCCTGTCAAAATATAAAAGCGAACTTAGCATAACATTTATGGAACACATTGTTGCTTCCTAAAAGATTCTTTAATTTTTTTGTAATGGATCATCCAATGTCAGCTCACACCTAATGGCGGCAATTTGAAAATTGTGTAAAAATGCTTGTAAATATTGCTTGTTTTGTCCAATCAACAGTCTAAAACTCAAAGATTTTTAATTTACAGTCATGTGAATCTGAGAAAACAGGAAATAAAAAACATTTTTGGTAATTATTGTTGTCATTTGACTGTCTCGTCAATCAATTGGCAAATTGAACTGATACAAGAGCGCCTCCCAAGGTGTTACATCTTGCTGATTTTAATGATCTCATGGCTTTTCCTGTAGTGTTGGCCTTTAGTACAATTCTATAGTCCTTCGTCCTGCCATTGATAAGACGCTGAGAACAGCAAAACCTTGTGTTGTTTAGTTTTTAACTGATGGATGCTTTGAACATTAGATCCTCTATGGGCCACTAGCCCATTCAGCCTTACTTTTCAGTTATGTGTTGTGGCAGTACAACTAGCCATTCACAACCCAACCTGATACAATGGGATATTTTTTTTCATTTCCAAAATTTGAACATTTTGATTTACAGTCTCAAGTGTCTTGTAGGAACAACTGCTTGCAACCACATTAGGCTAGTGAGAAGCTAACTAGGCATCTTGGCTTGAAGTATACAGAAAAGCACAGAGGAAATGATATAGAGAAATGCTTTGGCATCTTGCTGGTTAGCTATTACAACTGTTTTTGTGATACTTTGTTGCATTCACATGGCCAGAAATCTCAACAAAGCTGAACATTTGCATATATGTATCACACATGCATCTGTTTTATAATCTCCTCTCCCGCCAAGTGGTGGTGGCTAAGTGTTCATGTATGTATGTATTCATTATGTAGCTGTGTTGATGAATCATACTGGTGTAGAAGGTCAGTTAACTCCAAAGGCGTGGTGCAGGTTTGTGGTCCTATCACATGGATACTAACTGGATGGTATTGTTTTAAAGTGTTGAACCTAGATTATATTCCCATGTGGTTTATTTTTTCATGTCTGTAAATGCATAAAGGTTCGTGTAGCATGAATTTCATCCTGACCCCAAGTTGGATGTGTTTATCCAAAATTTGTTTCCACATGGTGACCATGCTACAAGTGCAATAGTACACAACAGGTCGTCAATGCGACCTACTGCACATGTATGCAACAGGGTCTTACAAGCAGACTCTTCTGGACTAGAAAAGTAACATAATAGCAACAATTATGCATCCATAGGTATCCACAGCTGTCTGTAAGCATGGTTGCACCAGATTATCATCAAGTATTTACACTACTTTTCTATCAACAGGAGTCTGCTTGGAAGACTTTAGTGCATACATGCACAATAGGTCATATCTATGTATTCCATGCGTACACATTGCTGCCAAATATGCAATTTTGCCCCTTGTAGAGTACAGTCAGTAATTACACAAACAAGTGATGATGCTGTTCTGAATTTTCCACCATTTTTCAAGCAGTTGTCATGAGAAAAGAAACTATAAAAGAAAAAACTGTTGTGGCTAAATGCCTTTTTTTTTTTTTACTGGGAGTTTAGTGGAAAAACTGACAGTGCAGCGCTGAAGTCAGGAAGCTATTAGCTTAGCTTAGCCCAAACACCGAAAACTGTTCAAAGTACAAAAGTACATTTACCAATCAACGTAAAGACCTCTCAAATTAACTTGTTTATCTTGTTTCTTAAATCTGTTCACAGAAATGTAGAAATGACAATTTCATTTTAGAGCTGTGGTATGTTTGAGGCCAGAGCCAGGCTAGCTGTTGCCCCCTTGTTCCAGCCCTTATGCTAACTTAAACTGGCTGTAGCTCCAAACTTAACATGCAAAGAGGAGTTGGCCATTATGATAACAAGAGTATTTTCCAAAATGCCAAACTGTTCTTTTTACAGCTGACCAAATGTGTTTTGATGTCTTTCAACAAACATGTTTTTAACCTGCGAAATCTTCTCAAACACATGACCAGAAGTATTAGCTTACTGTAACTGGTTAAAGAGCATTTGAGCATATTTTGATCCTAGACCACAGTGAAAATATAGTAGTCAAATTGTGATAAAGCACTTAGAAAGACACACTGATTATCTCATTATCAACACATAAGTCCATTAACTGACAATTAAATTAGCCTTGGTTGAGAAGGTACATTTTGATATCTATAATATATTGTAATTTCTGCTCACACTGCTTAAACACAGACACAATTTATATTCATTATATTTGCAATGCATCAATAAATGTTAGTGGTTTGGTTCTGGAAAAAAAATGTCCTCGAATTTCACAGTGATCAATGACTTCATAAGCCTTCGTTAACCATATCCAGTCTCTGTGAAGTCCCCGTAGAAAATGAGCCTGCAGCCAGCGATCAGCGTTTCTTTAACATATTGCTTCATGCAACTTGGTGAAAAAACTCTTCATATGTTTGGCACAGTTTAAATATAGATATTAATATACAAGCAGTGCATTATGAGACGTAGACATTCAACAACAGCCACCCAAAAAGGTTCATTAAGACATTTTTGAGTATTATTGTCTAATTAAGGATCAAAGTCATATTTCTAAACAGTATTTAATTGATACTTTATTTTTTGCAAAATACATACACACCCTTCAGATACATCCAAAAAGAAAATCCTCATGCACACACACACACACAGACAAACAGCTCTTCTTTCGAGTGTATCTTCGACACACTCTTATTCAAAAGAAAACTGACTTTTCTTAATCTTGGCACAATTTGAGTTTAAGAAGGAAGCACTTTAATCTAGTGGTGGTTGTAAATGTCCAACATGAAGGGCAATCTTCTTGGGTAAGCTTAATGGAGGCTGCTATTGCTGACGTCGGAGCTTGGATGGATCTAGTTGGATAGTTTAACTCTCTCGTCTTGGTGTTGATACATGATGGAAGGTTGCATTACATCCATAGCAGCGTGGCACTTTCTGCTCCTCTGAGCCAGCCAGAGGCTAAAACTGGGAGGTTTCCGTGAAGGAGATTGCATCTGTCTTGTCGACGGTGAAGCCTCCGTTGACGTAAGATTTCTTCTCGCACTCTTCATCGTCCAAAGTGGCTTCCAGAGCGAAAGGGTTGGCGACATCCACGTCTGATGTCAGATCCATCCTCTCCAGTTCCCTCTTGGAGAGTTTCTGAACGATACCGGCTCCGTAAGCATCGCCGAGGACGTTGATCATGGTGCGGAACCGATCCCTGAAACACACCAGTCACAATAAATCTGCAGCATTGTTCTTCCAGTATGTTCTAATTCAAATTTTTCAAAGATAGAAAAAACAGTCTCCAAACTTACAGCAGCCAGTCTACAGCAACTATCAGAGTGACATCATTTGCAGGTAATCCAACCGCTGTTAGGACGATGACCATAGTGACAAGACCTGCGTTAGGGACTCCTGCTGCTCCAATACTGGCAACTGTTGATGTTATACTGAAACAAAACGATACAATTTAAACTAGTTGTAGTTGCAATACAGAAACCAATAATTTGTGATTTACATATGAATATATCACTTAAAATATACAATGGGGTCCAAAAGTCTGACTTCATATTTTCATGTCACCCTGGGATTAACATAATTTCTAGGTCAACAATCAAACTGAAGCATGTTAATGGTGCTGATTGTGTTAACTCCTTTGTACAAAAGGTTGAGTTTCCTTGAGTTGTAGTCTTCCATTGAAGAAGCCTTCAGATGACCCTGGTGGATTTGATTGACTCATTGGTGGCTTGGTAAGAAGCGTGGTATCAGAACTAAATGAAAGCTAAAGAAAGCTGTCTAGTCATGGTCTCAGAGGACGATGAGCATGTCTAAACCACATCTCAGAAGAAAAAACAAGGTCAAAGTTCTTTGGGGGGGTCTAAGACAAGCCAACATTTTATAGTATATGTTGAAAAAAAAGTCCTATATACTGGTTATTGCCAGTTAAAGATTAAGGGCAGTGTTAGAAGGGCGTATTTAAGGAGACTAATAGGAAACAATGGAATTTGTCCTGCAGCAAGATACTGAGGCCAAACTCACTTCAAAGCTTTGACTTGAAAACCAAAAAAAAAATCAAGGAGTGCTGACCGTCATGGACTTTGCTCCACAACCACCTGACCTCAAAGCAACTGAACATTTATGGGGCACTTGAAGACCGAGAAACACAAACATTCCCGGACATGACAAGAAGTTCTTCGGAACATTGTTGCATCATGCTGGGAAACTTGACTCATCAGGTTTGGATTAGCTGATAAAGTCTATGCAATAAAGCAAAATGGGCACAAACAAATACTAAAACATTCTGGCAATCAACTTTTCACTCGAATTGTTAAGCTGATATCCTTTTTTTTAAAGGAACATATTGAATTAAATTGGGAACAAATGCAATGTGGAAGTGTGTTTACTTATAGTTTGGGCTCCACTGTATGAATATGTGAAGTTAGAACAGACAAATGTGCATAAGCCTGATTGAAACCCATTGGTTTCTGTTATTGGTAATAAGGCTGAGTATCAAAACCTGTTATTTTTAGTACAGTGTGAAATGTGTCCTTTTGCTCATTGGTAATTAAATCCTCTAAATCTAAGACAAATCATCTTACCATACTTATGTACTATGGCAGCACAGTCAAAACTGAATGTCTCGACTAAATCATGATCTTGTTTGAGAAATTTGGTTTGTTTATTTCCTTTCTAGCAAAAGATTTTTGAGAAATCTTCCAAATGCTATACTACAAGAAGGTACCTGCAGTCACTCATATCATACAATCTCCTCGCATTTGATATCGCAATATCCTCTAAGGCTGGATATGTTTGCATGTTTTAAACTGTCTACGTGCAGAACAGACAAACCTCTACCCTGGTAATAAATCTGAATTTTATAGTTTTATAATCTACAATTAGAAATTCACGTAACTTAAAATGATGTACCTGATAGTAACAATCTGGCCCACATCTAGGGCGTAGTCATTCAGCTGGGCGATGAAGATGGCGGCCACTGCCTCGTACAACGCTGTGCCATCCATATTAATGGTGGCACCCACTGGGAGGACGAAGCGGGTGATCCTCTTGTCAATACGATTGTTCTCCTCCGCACATCGGAAGGTGACAGGCAGGGTAGCAGAGCTGGAAGACATGAGGACAGCCAGTCATTAAAATCTGTAGCAGTATTGCTACTTTGGGAAAAATATTGTTCAAATATGATCTGACTTTACGGGCACAATAAGGATTCTGACCTAGAGGAGATCATCAGCGCTGTCACCAAAGCCTGAGCCATCCCCAGTGTGAATGTATAAGGGTTCTTCCTTACGATGATGAAGAAGATCAGTGGCAGACAAATGGTGGCGTGGATAGCTAGACTGAGGAACACAATGGGCATAGTTAGAGAACAAGTGGATACTGCATTACAAGCACAATGTTAAACGTTTAAAGAAGCAGATCCAATCCAATAGCACACAGATGAACATCGATACACAGGACTCTCCTGAATTCTTTAGGCTTCTGTTAACCACCAGTTTTAAGTATTTCAACCTTGCATCTGAAAAATCATCGTTTTGGCAATGCGGTTGGCTCTAAATAGTACAATACCCATGCACTTTGGCCACTTCTAAGCCAGTCATAGGCCAAAACCAGAGTGTAGCTTCCCGCAGCCTACTGGATCCTACTGAATGTCGTGCGCCGAAATGCATCTAAGAAGTCGTCATAAACTTTGATCCCGAAGTTTTAATGTACCATTGCTTAAACAACAGACTTTTCATCAAAGAAGCAGTCACTTTGAGATCAATTTGTTCCTCTTCTTTACTCAACCAGTTGTGTTTCACACAATCCAAACACTGGAGGTTCTCCAGCTATGAGCAGCGTAACACATGGGCAAAATAAAGGTGCTGAAGAGTACCCAAATGTAACTATGATGTCAAATTAGCCTTGCAGCCTCCATGTTTTTCTTTTCAAATCATCATATTTTTAATTTAAACTGTGTTTGCATCATAGAGTATTACAATTTCCTACACGTGAACAGTCTAGCTTCAGCCACTTGAGGACTGTATGAACCATTTTGAGGCCGTAAGGTGGTGCAGATAGTGAGACTGGATTGTACTCCCTTCTGACAATCCGGCCTGCAGCACTTGCACAGCACATATTCACTGGTGTGATCGCTGTCTGCAGCTTATCAGTGACTGTAACACCCTCCACTTCTCACAGCCCTAATGAAGTGTCTGATCAGAATTAATGACCATGGCATTCATACTGATAAAGGGCTTTGAATAAAGGATTAAAGATTCAAATGTCAGTTGAGTTCTCGATTCTCAATTTCAGCAACAGTGATTCTGAAAAAGGTTGTGAATGTTTGTCTTAACTTTGATATTTAAAAAAAAACATTTTACAGCCATTGTATGCTACTTCAAGAACATTAAATGAAAGTGTGAACATAGTATAAAAAACAAAAACATGATGGCATCACATGAAGCGCTCAGAACCTTGGACTCACCCTCTGACCTAACCAGAGGGGATTTACAGTACAGTCTTTAATGGTGTCACTTAGATTTAGAGGCAAGAGCAAAGCTTTCATTACTGCATCTGCAGGTTGAGCAGTTTTAAATGTCCTTGGCCCTTATCAGTGCCCACACAGAGCTCAGCTTTTACAGTATCATTGGAGGGAGAATCGGCCCAAATGTCAACAATAAATCCCAGTGTCTGGAACAGGCGGATACAGAATAATGGGACAGCTTACCCACTCAGCACCGTCACCATATAAAGACCCATCTTCTTGAAGATCTCCCAGTCTTCCACCTCAATGATCTTAGCAGCAATAAGGAACAGGATTCCTATGGGCATGTAGCTGAAAAAACGTAAAGGTTGAGTTGGCCTACAGCATTAACAATTAACCCATTTTATTGGTCAAAATGAATGAATGAATGAATTTGTTCATTTTTCTAGCCTTCGCCAACAACAAAGTGAATATTTGAATTGAATTTTGAAAAAATTGAATTTCCCTTCTGGGATGAATAAAGTATTTTTCATTTCATTTCATTTGAGTTTTTCCATTATACACTGTGTAAAAATATGTTTGAATATTATCAACACCAAATTCAAAGAGTTCTGCCACCCAACAAATCCCAACCCAAAACACCTGCTTCAATATATGTGGGGTTATGAGTAGATGTGAAAATGTCTTACAAGTAGAATGCATGCTGTGTTGTGTTGGTTTATTGGGGTAGCTATGGTAAGTAGCAACTGCAACCTGCTATCTGGTGAAAAAAAAAGTAGCTTGTTGCTGTAAACATGCAAGCTTTTGATGGCATGATTGTGCTACTAAAATCTAAAAGGAAAGGAATTTTAAATAGCAGTGTTGCCACATGATTCTATAGTAAGTGTCACTGCTTCATTGCACCAGTAGTGGGCGTAATCGTGCAAAATTTGTGAGGAGTTTTCTTTAAATCCTTAATTATTTAGATGGTCTGTTTGCTACAAACCCCACTGCTAGTCTGATATAACAAGAAAACTGCCTCTACAAGTCACATAGTAACATTGTTCTGGATCAGAACAGTTTGAACTGTCATCTGAGACAGATGTTCTGGTTGTACCAGTCATATTCATTCGCCTAAAGTTGCCAAAAAGCAAGGGGGATCTAGGTATAAATGGATAAAGTATGAACTTCATTATGATGAGCTCCAATGGTGTTGGTTGTTGGTAGCAATTTGTTTAGTGTTGTGGCCACTACATGTAGCTTATTGGCTAATTAGCATAAGTCATTAGCATTTTTGTTGTTGGGCCAAGGTCCGTTTATACGCTTTTCGTAGCTGTTCCTAAGCAGATGGAGTTAGCATCCAGAAATCATTGGTGAAAAACCATTAATCATTACTCCGCCATGTAGAGTGTAACTTTCCTGGTCTTTTGGAAGCCTCTAGCTGTAAATCATTCCTTAATACATACCACATAATTATCTGGACCAGTTTCATGGTTGCTTCATTCAGGGCATCAAAAAATTCCAGGAGGATGCGACCCTTTTCTCCCATTTTCCCAATGACAAGGCCAAAAGCAACACAGAACACGATAAGCCCCAATACGTTGATTCCATCCGAATATGTGCCGACGATACTATATTCCTTGGTGATGTTCTGCCAAGACAGGACACAAAGAGGCGATTCATTCAGTCAACCAAGACTAGGCCAAGAGGCTGCTTTCACAACCGCATTAGCTGACTCTAAAGACCCATTGATGAGCTGTGCAAATGTTTCTACAGGATTACAGCCCGCTGACCCGTGACTACTTATGACTCATTAAGGGGTCTTCTATTGCATTTAGATCAGATGCTACTTGTCAGGTGCGGAAACATGAAGCTAAAGTGCGGCAGCTGGATCCACAAGGACACATTGTTGTCATGTAAAGATCAAAAGCCTTCCTGGAGGTTTGTAATACAAGACACTGGTGACTCTTTGCTGCAAGGGCAACTTTGCATGACAAACACGGCCACCTATCATTAGCATTAAGGTACTGATTATCTGTAGGTAAAGCGAATAATGTGCACACCTACCTCCACTGCTGCCATGATAGTAGTTGCAAGAGGTGGAATTGTGGTGGTGTTGACTGAAACCTTCGGAGGCTCCAGCTCTTTGCGCTTCGTTTTGTACTAGAATGAGATTGGACACGTTTGATAGCCTCAGAGTCACATTCATATAACTTCATGCTGCTTACTCATGGATGTACATTTAAAAGTCACTTCAATAAAGGTAGACAGTGGGATTGATGATAGATGTTTAAGTTTCTTACCTGCTGAAAACAAGCCTGCACCAGATTTTCTGGAAACATGTTTCTGTTGATGGGGAAAGACAAGATTGGAGGTGAATGGGAGCTAATTTTGTGTATCACAATCATTCCTTGATAGAAGGGAGTGATTTTCATATTCATAAGGAGACTAAATGCTGTGGGCTTTAGAGGAAATGGAGCTAAAACCCTAAAATCAGCTTTATGCAGATGCCATCTAATGAGATGCAAAGAATTTATCAATAGAAAGTCGTGTGGTAATGAGATTTTCAGTGCTTCCGCTGCATCGTTTTCAACTAAAGTCACCTCCTTTCATTTAAGAAATTATTCAGAGGTTAGCTCAGAGATAAATTAAATGCCTCAGTTTGCTAAAAAGTATCTTATTTCAAATAAAAATGCTCATAAAACTCCTGTCTGACAACCCAAATAACTTGAAACATTTAACGTTTTAAGTTCTTGTAACGGTTTGAGAGTCATTGCTTTCATAAGGTGACTTAACCCTTTGAGTTGATTTAACTTTAAGAAACAGACAATCTCTAAATTACTTTTAGGAAGGTTTAAACTTCCCCCTCAACTTTTTTTTTTTTTTTTTTGTCCTTATACAACCAGAAGATACTCTGGTCAATATTTAACGTCAGTATAGTTTTTCCATTGTAAAATATCCTCATTAACTGGGTGACACTGAGGATCATGAGACTGTGTTGACCTTTAGTTTTCCACTTAATTTCCTTTTATTTTGGAACTCAAGTTTTACTTTCACCTGTTGATGGGTTAGAGTTCACCACCAAAACTACTTGGTCGGAAAGGTGCTTTGACTGTCACAGCATTAACCACATGTTAGAAGGTAAAGATCTCATCTGGAACAACACTTTTGTCTTTCGATGCAGTGGAATGACAGAATGTATGTTGCAATATTCATGAAACGTTTGCAGCTCCACGTTGTGAGAGGTCACCTGACGAGGTCCAGTAGTGTGTCCACTGTAGTGACATTAGGCGTGGTCCCAGTTCTGTCAATGTGGTCAGCTGTCTGAGAGACTCCAGGTTTGATAGTCATTACCAAAATAATTCCTGCAAACAATGACACAACTTACTGCACTGCTACAACGACACACAAAGTAGGTTTTATTTAAATGGAAAGACCACAACCGCAGCAGTAAATGATCAACTCCGACATGTTAAAGTAACTAAACAGGAGAATTTGAAGAAAGTCTAGAGTCAAGGAGAATATTAACTCACCAAGAATAACTGCAATGATTGTTGTTGAGAAGTAATAAATAACAGCTCGCAGACCTATCTTTCCTGACACTTCAGAGTCCAGGGCTGCAACACCTGTCCACAAAAAGCACAATTAGAACCAAAGGGTCGTCCTACAAAGTATCATGAGACACAACTAGATCTTTGTATACCACAATTTACCTAGTCAAAGATTTTACACTCTCGGTGCATCAGTGAGAACATCAAAACAATACCAGAAGTTTGTAATTACACATCAGCGTGCAAATGACAAAACTTGCTACTCTGGTATTTTATTTGGTAATTTGTAAAATGTATATGACACATCCAGGAGAAAGCCATGTGTTCCTATGTGAAAAATGGAAGTAGTTGTGATATATATATATAGCCTTCACAGATAAATGTATAAATGGGAGTTGAATCTACAAGTTGATGGCAATTTCTAAGCACAAATAGACAAATGGTTGCTAAGTTGATAGCATACCTTGAAGTGTCACAGACCGCCTGTTGTGCAATTTAAAGTTAGATGTCCATAAACATTAACTAGACTTGGAGTCATTTTTTAAAAGGACATCCTTCCCTGGAAATAATGTAGACCCCATGCACAGCAGAGTATAGAAGTTAAACAAAAATCTTTAAAGCAGAGTCTCCTACAATAAAATAAGTCCTTGAAAATCTTTCAGGTTCTAAAGTTGCCAAAAACGTTTCAACTGAAAACCAAGCACTAAATGAGGGGTTCAGTGGCAACGTGGGCCAAGCCACAAAACATCCAAAGTTGACTTTTTTTTGATAAGTGTTTGTCGTCTACTCGTTTGTAGTCCAACCAACAGCCCACTAGTAATGTCACAATGCAACTTTGAAGTTTTGTCCATAATGGTTTTGGCATGAAAATTTAGTGGCAAACTGGGAAAAGCCACAGGAATTGCTGACCATTATATCGCAGGCGCAGGTAGTTGCACTGTTTGTGATTCAAGATGGCGGACAGTGCAACCTCAAGCCCTGTAAAAACTCAACTCGTAGATACAGTAAGGTAAAAATAAAAACTTAATTAACCACCACCAAGCATCTATTTCTACCCCATGGTCCTCAAAAGAATCTCTAGTTTCCTATGATGACCCATGTAAACTCATCAATGCTGTTTAGCAAGACAAACCTTGAGTCTGTTTTCTTCTCAAACTGAAGGAAATGTGGTATGGTCTGCTTTGGCACTCAGCAAAAAGGAAAGTCAAAATTCAAGCTTAAAGAAGTCATCACAAAGTCGTTGCTTCTATCTCTGGACAGTGTTGAAACATCTTTGGATGCAGATAATGACTCCTCCAACAGCCATGATTGTTTTTTAGCAACACAATATTTGGACCCCAGTAAATGTGGTTTGGCCCACTTTGGCACTAACCCCTCCAAATAAGTTTAGACATATCATCTGTTAATCCGTTGACAACTGTGAAATAAAAAAAAAACCTCCTGAAAACTAATATTTCACAATAGTATTTTAAGTGGGAAATTACTGTATTCTTACTATGTTTGATGCTAAGTGTAAAGATGTTGGTAGTTTTCTTCGGAATGACATACCACAACAAGTTCTCAGAAATAAACATAAGAATTCAATGCTGGTTCATGCACAAGTGTTTTGGGATCTGTTGGCACTGTTGGCTATTCTTACACCATTGGTTATGGCCTTATGTGAAAAATTGACATGGTTAGGGAAGCGAAAGATTTGGGGTAAAACAACTCCTTTGCTCAGGTTAAGGGACCTTCCCAGAACAGCCAATAGCTATTTGTGTGTGGCCAGTTGGTGTCAAGTCTCGTAGGGGTGCTCAGAAGTATCTATCCCAATGTATGGATTTGGGTTTGGTTTTTTTATCTCCATAGACTTTGCACAGGGGCAGTTCTTGTGGTCAGAACAAAGGTTCAGGCTTCCCTAAAATGGCTTACAAGTTCCTGCAGTGGAAAACAGTCTGCTTGTAGTGATGTCCAACTTGAATAAAGTGAATTCAGGTTGATTTTCCATTGATTCTCTAAACTTGTTTGATGGGAAAAATGAGAAATCCAAGTGTGATACTTAAAATTCTGGTAATTATAGTTACAGTAGAGCTGAAGTAGTGACACACAGGTGGAGAAAACTCAAGGGAAATCAAGTGGGAACAACAAATCCCAGCAGTCAACAACCGCCACCTCAGGAGCTGGTATTAAAGACAAACAATGGAACACAGTGCCAAGATGGAAAAGTTTTCTCCCTAGCAACACATGACAGTCATCATAATTTATAAGGTTTTTATGAATTCTGCTCAGTTGGTACGATACGCTTAAGTGACAAAATCAGTCAGAAGCTGCTGGCAACGCTTCACAGTGACGCTTCCTCATTTTGTAGCCATGAGTCGTAAGAAGGAGCTGCTTTTTTCATCTAATTCCATTCTAGCAGGGAGCAGTGATACGCTGCTGTGGGTGAGATGAAGGGATTAGTCGGGGAAGATGTGATGCAGCTGCTACACGGCATTCTTCAGCAGTCACCTGGAGTGTCAGTTATCTCACTGGAGTGACTGCTGTGTGTTACTCCTCACTGGTTTCCTCTCAGCAGAAAGTAGATGTGTGAGTGTAACCAGATAGGTGTTCACTGCAAGAAGCTGAGATGTGCACAGTCTGGCACACTGACTGCATCTCATTAGGGGATGCTTATCTCTAGACATCGTTAAAGTCTTTATTTCATTTTGACATAGCACGCTGGCTCAATACATCTGCCACATACTTTATCTATTAATTGATTAACTTGTTTTCCTTTAAAATGTCAGAAAGTGCCCAGATTTTTGAACTGATTAATCAGATCTGCTTGAGCTGTGCCTACACTAGTACACTTTCAGTATATTGAAACAGAACATGATGCATAAGCATGGATTCAGTGACAATGTCATAGAGCCAAAACATTATGACCACCACTTGCTAACATACTCAGATATGCCCAAACAGCCTCCACCAACCAAGGCTGGTCCATTCAATCCTGTCGTTTGTTAATTAGGGCCATTTTAGTCTTGTTCCAACACATTTTTCAATACCTTGTGGACCTTTTCATGGTCCGTCCCTCCCTTGACCACTGTCAGCAGGTACCACTGTTCACCCTAAGCCTAAAACTACAAAACAAGTTTAACATATCCGGGATATGTTTTCACTATCTGGCTTCACTAAGCCTAACAACCGCTAAGTGGTCACACAGAATTGGTTATTGCCTCATTACATCACCAGGTGGTGTTGGCACAAGATCAGTCTCTTCTCACGAGAAGAACAAATTAAAGTCCAACGTCAGTATGAGGATTATCAAAATATTATACAGTCTGAAAGAAACAGCTGGTGCAAGCAAACCTAGGAGGAAACAAAAAAGCGTTTAGTGATTTACCGGTCTCTGGTTCAGGGTTATATCGCTATTAAAAGATCACCAGAGCAACTAAATGGCTTCGAAATTTCTTGAGGTCAACATCCCTCCACTGAGAATCTGTATCTCCCATATCTATGCTCGTCTTGCCCAATTCATGCACCAACTTCCACATTATTTTCTAGCAAAGGTAATACCATTTTCCAAGACGAGCCATTGGTCAGTAGATGGTGCTTTTACATGCACTGATATTTTCTCTGAAACCACTGGATGCAACATAAGTTACGCTGTCAAAGCCAAAAGTTAAACCTGAAGTTACCTCGCTAACTCCAAATCCTACTTGGTTGTGCCTCAGGAGCACAGATATCTTGTTGATTTTGTTGTCTTGGTTCATACCAAGTATCAACCTATTTACGAATCTAAAACAGACTTACTGATCTTTATGTTTTGTAATGCAGTAATCAAGTCAAGTTACCTGTTATCATGCTCGAAATGATGAGTGGAAGGATGACCAGCTTCAGCATTCGCATTAGGATCTCTCCTGGGAAGCCGAAATACTGCTTGTGGAGATGGGAGAGGGATGCATACTCTCTGACCACGACGCCCAAACTGATCCCTGCAACGACAGGAGAAAGACAGTCAAATCAAAGAAAAAGATACTTCTCAGGATTTAAAAAAAAACAAACTGCATTGCGATTTCATGTGCAACTCTCATTGTCACATTATTTCACAAGTCAGTGCCGTTTTGCTATGTCATGAGGCACAATTCATATTGCCATGCGTTACACATGCTGTGTTCTTCAGCTGTAAATGCCACACGTGTCCACTTCAGCGATTTTCGTGATGCACTTAAAACTGTCTTATCGCACATGACAGACCACCATTAAAGATGATTGTAAAAAAAAAAAAAACACCAGATTGCACCTGGATGACACAACCACACATATACCTACTGAACATACACAACATAACCTGCTTCTTGAGCGCTAACTTACTCATTTATTCATTTTTATCAGACTGCAGATTCTCCACGAGGTATAGCTGTTCAGTCCAGTTGTGGATACCAACCTGAACCATTGCATCAACAGTGGCAGCACTTAAGATCTGCAGTGTACGCAACAATTTGCCATTATTTTATGACTGATTACATCTCTTTATAGACTTTTTTGTGCATCTTTTTGTATGTGTTTTGTATTTCTTGGGTGATTTTCCATTCATTTGTGGTTGTGTTTCCTCTTTTTGTGGTTGTGTATCATCTTATCCAGTCATTTTGCCTCTCTTTGTGACTGTTTGGTCATACTTTCAGCATCAGTGACAGCACATACTCATCCTACGTTGCTAGTTTGCTGGCGTTGATTTCATATTTGACAGCTTCTGTTATGGAGGTTGTAAAGATTTACTGTGAAGACGTCATGCAAATTTATCCCAGCCTAATTGCGATGTTTTTTAGAGTCAGCCATGGGCGGAGTTGGGTTCGGAACTGCGAGCTTCCGCGAACTCAAGGGAATTGATTTCCAAAGTAATAAAAAAAACACCTTTTATAGATTTAAAGTGACCATATCATCTGGGAGAGGCAATCAAGGTAAGAGAATGAATGACTTTACTGCTGTAGGACATTGCCTCTTC